CCCTTCTCCACGGGGCGCGCTCGGCGGCCTTTTACTAGCCACTCCACCCGTTTCACGGCCAGCTGCTGCGCCCGGCCCCCCCGCCGGTTCTTGCCCCCGCGCGGTGCACCTGCGTGTCCCAGGCGAAGATGGCCTTTTTTTCCCACGTTCCCGCGGATGTTAGCTGCACCCTGCCAGTAGATCACCTCGTCTCAGGCGAAACTTCCCCAATCACACACCGGCCGCGTGCTGCACTCTTGTCGTGCTGAGGCTTGTCTCACGCGTAACCTCCCTTCATTCTGCGGCTGTTAGCTGCATCTCATCAAGGCATCGGCACGTCTCAGGCGAAGATAACCCACCTTCCTCCGGCTTTTAGCTGCGCCCTACCAGTTGGCCACCACGTCTCAAGCGCTGTTTTCCGCAATCACACCGCAGCGGTCAGCTGCGCTCTGGTCGTGCACCGGCTCGTCTCGGGTGTAACTTTTCCCCCTCAGCCTGCGGCTGTTAGCTGCGCCCCAGCGTGACATCGGCTCGTCCCATGCGGGGCCTACTCTGCATCCTGCGGCTTTTAGCTGCGCCCCAACCGACCTGGCAGTCGCGGCCCGTGCCCCCTGGCCCGCTTCATGCCATGGGTGAGCAGCTGTGCGTCTCAAGCGAAACTCCCCCTGCGGCCGTTAGCTGCGCCCTACCAGAGAGCTGCTTGTCTCAGGCGATGCAACCCCCATCGCTCTGCGGCTGTTAACTTCACCCCCACTGGGCGCCGGCCTGTCTCAGGCGGAACATCTTTGCTACCGCGGCCGTTAGCTGCTCTCCTGGGCCCCGGGCTGTTTTTCGGCGGCCCCGGCGCGTGCGCCCACCTTCCTTCGGCTTCAATTGCTCCCCCCCCGAAGGTCATCGAGCTCCTGGCAGCTGTCGCTGCCTCTCTCTGACAGGCGCCCCTCGCTCCATGCCACCCCCTGGGCACGAGGGGCGGGAGGCTTCCTTCACCCTTTCGCCCCTGCCTGGCCCTGGAGATGGCCCGGGGCACTGCAGGACCCTCAGCAAGGGCGCTCCTGCGCAATCATTTTCTTCTGCCGCCGTTGGTTATCCTCGGCTCCGTAGCCTCCTCGCCCACGGCGCCGCATCTGATTGGATTGGCTTCGGGCCCTGCTGCCCGCTTACGACAAGTACTGGGAGTTCTGCAAGGTGCGGACGATCTATTACTTGTTCCACGGCTGAGCCGCGGCTTCAGCTCTTCTCGTTTGCTGTTATTGTCTCTCGTCGCCCCTCCTTTTTTCGTCTTTCTCCTTCTTTTCTTCCTCTCTTGTTCGCTCTTTCGCCTTCTTCCTCTGTTTTCTTATTTCGCCCTCGCCCCTGCCGCGTTGCCTGTGCTTTGCCTGGTAGTTCTCGCCGCCATCGTGGCCCTCTTTCTCCTGCGCTTCGCTGGCGGCGCTAGCGCTGTCCGCCTTGGCCCTGTGCTGTTCGACCTCTCTGACGCCGCGCGGGCGCCCGCCTGCGGTCGCGATCAAAAAAGTACCCCCGCCAGCCCATCCCAAATACCACATCTTGCGACGACCACTGGCTGTCATGACATTCGGGCGCGTGCCCTCTTGCTCTCGCATATCTCCTCCTCTTCCGCCCACCTCCCACATATGTTCTGAGATACGTTCTTGCGGGGGCTGTGGGGGGGGGGGGGGCGAGGCGGAGCAGGAGGTCCCTTGACCCGTTTGGGGCCCTCGTGGTGCCTTTCGGGGCACCCTTGGGGCTCTTCTGGGGGCCTCTTGGGGCCCTCTTGGGCCGCTCTTGGGGCGTTGTTTGGCTGGTCTCGGGCCTCTCTGGGGCCTGTGTTGGGGCCGTTTTGGGCCATTTTGGGGCCATCGTGAAGCCTCATGGGCACATCGAAAGCGAAAAAGCGAGAAGGCAGAAAACACTGATTGTCCCCAGGTTATTGAAACTTGTTGGTTTTTCGGGGGCGTCCGCGGGAGGCTTCGTGGCCACTTGGGGCCGTCTTGGGGCCGTATTGGAGCCTCGTGTAGGCTTGTTAGGAGCTATCTTGAGTCATCGAGGGCTATCTTGAGCGATCTTGGCAATCATCTTGAGCTCTCTTGGGCTGTCTTGGCGCGATACTGGGCCAAAACAGACGCTCCAACCGCCCGCGCCCTCCTTTCCCCCCCCCGGCAAGCCCAGGGGGAGGGGGAGAGGGGGAGGGGTCAAGACACCCACCCGCCAGGAATCCGTCTAGCTCACTCCTGACCCGCCCTCCCTACACATATCATCACCCGAGCCTGAGCATGTGCAGCTGTCGTCTTTGGATGGACAGATATTGGGAACCAAAGCCGACCCCAGGTGCGCGACGTTTGGGCGAGGTGCGCCACGCGTGCCTGGGGCGCCACTCGCGCCAGGCACCTCCGGGGACCGAGAGTGCCAGGCACGCCTGGTGCGCCAGACGCGCCACGTGCTCCGAGTGTGCCGGGTGTGCCGCACACTCCGGCCGCGCCAGGTGCGCCGCGTTCGGGGCACGGGTAAGGTGCGCCAGGTGCGCTTGCGCACGTGACAGCACACATCGGGAAACATGTCGGCACCCGCCATCCTTATCGAAAACCGATGCCCATCATTGTGTTTGGTAGGCCTGCGCACAGCAGGCCACGCGCCACCACCCCCGCGGTCCCTGTCAAAAACCACTTGAGTGTGATCGCGGGATGGCCGCACACGATCCAGATTTAACCGCGATATGCATGTTGTATTGTTTTTTGTCCGGGATGGTCGACAACCCCGCCGTCCTTGTCAAAAACAATACCAAGTGCTTGCGGGCCTCGAGAACATGACTTAAGACTTTGCCCCAAATTGTACGTTGCATCGATTTTTTACAGGGATGGTGGGGGGGGCGCATCGGGTTGGCCGCGCTTGCTCCAAATGTGGAAGCAGAGTGCGGTTTGTATTTTTTTTTGTGACAGGGATGGCGGGGGGCGGGTGGGCATGGTGTCGGCATGGTGCCTGGTTGGCCCCCGGTCGCCTGGGGGAAGGGGCTGTATATTAGTAAAGAACAATGATAAAACCTTCCCCGAAGGGGAAGAAGGGAGTGGAACAGAACGGGCTCTCTAAAACACCTCCGCCCAGAGGGTTTGTGGGGACTTACTGCTCTGGATCAACGCTGCCAAATGCGACCCCCAGGAATTGGATGGGTTTGTGGAGGTTCTGCATGGTGCCTGGTTCGTGGCCGCCCGTGGGCGCATGTGGACGCCACATGGCATGGCAGATGTTTTACGGATTGGGGGAAATTCTGCATACAGTGGAGGCCCATGCCAAGAAACACCCTGCTTGCCTCTAGGGTGCCCTGGATTTCTTAGGTTTGGATGGCTTTGCGATGGAGAGCGCGACGTCCCCACACCAAAAATCACTGGACGTCCTGGGGTCTCAGGGTTGGGTTTCTTGTGGAAGGCTTCTTGTGGTCGGGCCCCTACTGTATGACACGGCAGATGTTTTACGATTGGGGGAAATCTTCGCGTAAGCATCAGCGAATGTTCCGAGGTCTGCGCCGATCTCTCAATCATCGCCGGACCCCCCTCCCCCTCCCTGGCTCGCCGAACTCGCCAAGGGGCGGCGGCGCGGGCGCCGCCAGGGGGGCCCTTCCCTGATCCAGAAGTCCGCGCGGACCTTGTATACGGTGGGGGCGTTGGTCAAGAAGCGTGCCCAGGAGGCTTCAGACCCTGGAGGGTTCCTTCTCTGATGAGGGCGGTGGTGATATCCATGGCCAATCCACGATTTGCTTTCCACTGGCTTCCAGACCCTGGATTCCTTATCCAATGCTTCCTTCTCCAATGCCCCCACCATCGCACGGGCCTCTCGAGACCCCCCAAGAGCAACAATAACAAAAATGCGCCCACCGTTTCACATGCCTGGGCACCAGGAGCCCGGGCCCGCAGCTTGGACACCCTCCCGGAGGTCCCCCTCCCCTCTATCTGGAGCACCCGGGGCTTCCCGTGCCGTTTTTTCCTGGTTGCCCAGGTCGAGATCCGGGGATCGGGTTGACCCAAAAGGGGGTCCAGCGACAAGGGGGTGGTGCAATGGATTTGGTGCAATAGATTTGTGGGGTTGCAATACATTTGGGGCGTGCAATACATTCCGGGCCGCAAATGTATTGCTGGGCTTCCGCGTGCAAAACATTAGTTGCAATACAATGCAGTACAATTCTCTGGCGCAGAGAATTGTACTGCATTGTATTGCAACTAATGGTTTGCACGCGGAAACCCAGCAATACACTTGCGGCCCGGAATGTATTGCACGCCCCAAATGTATTGCAACCCCGCACCACCCCCTTGTCGCTGGACCCCCTTTTGGGTCAACCATAGGGGAGCACGACTAAGCGGCCGGAGCGGCGCAAGAGGGTCCAAGACGCTCCAAGATGGCTTCGAGGCGGCTGAGGAGCCCCCGAGAGGCCCCCAAGCGTTAGAAGGCCAACGATCCCCCCCAGGTGGCCCTAAGAGTTCCAAAAGGAACGCAACATTTGCTAACACAGAACCTACTGGCGCGAAGCGCGCGCGTGGTTATAGTCATCCAATATCCCCATCTAGGAGGACAAGTCGGCCAGTGGGGCCCAGGCCACGCCAGAGGGGAGAGGGCTCGGTTCAACGATGCTCAAGGATTCGGCGGCGAGCCCCGGGGGGAAGTGCGAAGGAGAGGGCCTTCTCAGAAAGCTCGGGAAGTCCCCGGGCCTTCTGAGAAGTTCTCCAAGTTTCTCCCGAAGACGCAAACAACTTCTCGGGAGGCGCGAGGGCTTCTGAGAAGTCCCGCCGCCTTCTCAGAAGGCCTTCTCCTTCTCCCTTCCCCCCCTCGCTCGCCGCCGAATGTGGATTTGGGATCACAACTCGGGCCCCAGGCGGGCGTTCGGGACGATCCGGGCACCCCCGGAACGCCCTCGGCGAGGCGCAGCCGCTGAAACGCACCCCGATGGTGGAAAACCGCCGAGAACCGACGAAGGCGCCCGAAAACCTCGAGCCTCGAAGTTCGAGCCTCGAACTTCCCCCCCTTGCTCGCCGCCGAAGGACGCCGAGATGCTGCCCGTGCTGGCGGCCCCCCCCGAGGCCGAGAGCGCGGCCAGCGGCGAGGGCGGCCCGCTCGCGCCGAGGCTGCGAACCTACGAGGCCTCGGCGACGCGCAGGAGCGGCCCTTCGCTGGAGTGACCTTCTGCGCGGGCCCACTTTGGCCGAGCTGTCAGAGACGGGGACCAAAGCAAACGGTCAGAGGAGGAAAAAGGACCCATACCCTTACCCTTTCCTCGTTTTCCCCTTTTGGAGCATCCTGGGCGGCCCTCGTCACCACCGCTGGATTCGCCTCGAAATCCTGGTCAGAACGTATCCCAGGAGAGGTCGGGGGAGTAGCGGTATGGGTACTTCTTGGTTTCCCCAAGATCGAGCAGTGGCGAAGCGTCTTGACTTGCCTATAGGCCTTTCATGGTCTGCATGTTATGCGATTAGAGCATGTATGGCTGGGACCGTCTTGTTTTAATACATCGGGCTTGTGTTCCAAGAACATGGCTTTTGTGTAATTAGAACATGTTTGGATTATAAAAACGCTCCGTGGTAGGCCTATACGAATGCTGGGACGGCTGGTCCCTGCTCAACACTTTGGCCGAGCTGTTAGAGACAGGAGCCAAAGCAAACAGGGGTCCGCGAGATCGCCGAAATCTTGGAGAATCCTTGCAGCGCCAGGGCTGCACTCACGCGGGTCCTCCCTCAGGGGCCTTCCAGGAGCCTGCAGGACTCTCCGCAAGAAGCCCCATTGGCCGCCCGTGTCCGCATGGACCTGGGTCAGTGGATCCCCGATGTAGCCCCACCCGCCTTCGCGCCGCCCCGCCGCCCCCCCCCCCCGCCCGAAGGAGCCCTTGGACCTCCACGCTCCGCGGCCTCTTGCGCGGCGTAGGGGCAGGAGGAGGAGGAGGAGGAAAAGGAGGAGGGGGAGGAGGAGGAGGAGGAGGAGGAGGAGGAGGAGGAGGAGGAAGAGAAGGAGGGGGAGGAGGAGGAGGAGGTGGAGGGTGGAGGGGGAGGAGGAGGGAGGAGAGGAGGAGGAGGAGGAGGAGGAGGAGGAGGAGGAGGAGGAGGAGGAGGAGGAGGAGCGTGTGCCGCGCAAGAGGCGGCGGGACCTACGCCGCGCGGCCGCGCCTCGGCAGTTTCGATGCCGCTCGGGCGGGGGGGCGGTGCGCGGAGGGTGGAGGTCAGAGGGAAGGAAGCATGCCCTGCGCAGTCGTTCGAGGCCTCCCAGATGGAGCCGGACCGGATGAGGTGTCGGAGGATAGCGCCGCATCGCCAAGGCATCGCAAGTGCCTTGGCCGGCGGTGCGGCGCGAAGTGGAGCTCGATGTTCTCCACGGTGGCGTGACCGATGTACCGCCGACGTCGCCGATGCATCCTCCTCCTCCTCCTTCTTCTCCGCCTCTCCCTTACCTCCTCCTCCTCCTCCTTCTCCTTCTCGCGTCGCCGACGTCGCCGATGCGGCGGCGCGATCCTCCGACCCATCCCCTCGGACCTCATCTAGGAGGCCTCTAAGCATTGGCTGGCGCGCTTGGATTGCTTCAATGTGGCCTCCTCCGTGGCTCCCTGAAGCCGCGCACAGAAGGTCACTCCTTGCCTCGGGTGACTGCTGCGTGCAGCCGAGAGGCAGACGACGCGGTGGCAGCGTGAGTCTTCGCCTAGAGAGAGAGAGAGAGAGAGAGAGAGAGAGAGAGCGAGAGAGGGCAAGAGAGAGAGAGGGGCGGCGCGCGTGAGGGGGCGAGGCGGGGGAGGCGGTTGCTAAGAACGCAGTTCGGCGGCGAGCGAGGGGGGGAAGTGAGAAGGAGAAGGTCTTCTCAGAAGGCGGCGGGGCTTTTCAGAAGCCATCGCGCCCCCCGAGAAGTCTCTTGCGCCTTCGGGAAACGCTTAGACAACTTCTCAGACGCCAGGGGGGACTTCCGAGCCTTCTGTCCGAGGCGGGAGTACATACTGCAGTGGTCATGCATGTAACATACATGACCACCGTCTTGAGGATCAATTGTCGGGGACCCGGGGACCCAAACACGTCCATATCCACCGCCCGCCGGGGCACCAGGGCGTCGGTCCTTAGGCGGTGGATGTGGATAAATCCCCGTGTCGCCTTCCGAGAGGCCTTCTCTTTCTCATTTCCCCCCTTCCGCTGCAAGCGCGGTGGCGGATGGTCGGGACTATGCTTGGTCCGAGCGTGGTTCGGGCGTGTGCAATGGCCACGGCCCCACGGGTCACTGTCATTCTGACTGGCCAGCCTCGCCCACCACTTCCCATCTCATCCTTTCCCCCCTTCTGGAAGGGAACGGATCACAGTCCACCCGCATGGTAAGGATGGGCAACCTTCCCAAGGGTACCCTTGCATCCTTGCCTCCTCGGTCCATCTCCTTGGCCACTTTCGTTGGCCGCGCCCCGCTCAAAAAGCTTAGGTCACACACACACACACAACATCTACAGTGGAAACCCATGCCAAGAAACACCCTGCTTGGAGTGCTCTGGGTGTGTCTTGGGTTTCGATAGTTTTGCGATGGAGAGCGTGACTCTCCCGCACCAAGGAATCGATGGACGTCCTGGGGTCTCAGCGTTGGGTTTCAGCCTCCTCCTCCCCCTCCTCCTCCATCCCCTCTCCGTACAAGTAGTTCCTCCCTGCCTGTCGCACCACCGGACGTGGACGGGGCGGGCCGGCCGTGTCGCCTTGACTCCTCATCACCACTCGTGATCCTGAACTGCACCTCAAGGGAGGAAAAGGGCACTCGTACCGCTACCCTTCCTTCGGTTGCCCCTGTTCGGGGCTCTTGGGAGGCCCTCGTCGCCCAGAACGCACCCCAGGAGAGGGCCGTTACGTAGCGGTATCGGTACCTTTGGGTTTCTCCAACTCTCTTTGCCCCCCCCCCGGTACGGTAGGTTCATGCTTCGGTGGCGCGCTGGCGACGCCGGTGAAGGCGTTCAAGGTTGAATTCCGCATGATAGAACGACGCGGAAGCACCGAGGGGCACGGTAGCGCTACAGGACCCAACGTTGTTGATCCCGCAGATGGTTCTCCCCATTAAGCCGCAGCGTGCTTGGCTCGGTCGGCCACCCCGCCCAGGTCGCCGCCTTGGGGTCCGTAGCCTCGCCGCGGGTGGCTCTTCTCTTCTGGTCCCTGGCCTGGCCTGTCTGCTTGGGGTTGCTTCCCTTCCTCGGCCTCGTCTTCCCCCCCCCTCCTATTTCCTTTCCGTCTGCTCCCTGCCTCGTTTGCTTGCGGCTGTTTCCCCTCTCCGCCTCTTCCTTGCCTCCCTCCTTTTCCTTTCGCTACCTGCTGCTCCCCCCCGCCCCCCTTCCGCCTGCCCGCCCCTCCGGCCCCGGCCTCCCGCCTGCGCCTGCCCGGGAGCAGCGTGGAGCAATCGTCGCTGCAAGGAATCATGCTCCTGTATTTGCCGAGTTGGAGCAGGCTGCTTGTTGCCCCATCAGCGAACAGCCCTGCAGGCGCACCCTGCCCAACCACACGCCCAGTCGAGGAGGTTCGGGAACGTTGCGGAATCCAACATTGAACGATCGGGGCCGCGATCGATTTAAGCTGAACGCTCAACGCGGTGTCGAACACCTTTTTCGCGCGCCGACGCGGCTCGAACCGTCAGGAGGAAAAGTTGGCACAAACACGAGTACACGCTGGTTGTCGTGAAAATTATGGGATCTATTGGAACTGGGGGGGAGAAGAATATCCAGGAGATGCGTAAACTTAAAAGGAAAGCTTGACTGTGTGCTGATTAGTGTGTGCTCCAGCGGGCCCCTTTACTTGCCGGCAGTCCAGGAGACCGCGTCCTTTGTAGTCCGTCCACCGGTCAGTGGAGCGAGAAGAAGTGATAAAGATACAATCCAGAATTTCCAGGGTTTCTTGTTGTACCGCGTGGCCAGGGACGGATTGCCGACTAGATTGCCGGTTCACCCCTTGTGCCGTCTCAGCGGTCTCTTGGTCGTTTCTTGAGCCATCTTGAAGCCATCTCAGGCCGTCTTAGGTGCATGTGGTACCGTCTTGGAAATATCTTGCGACCATGTTGGCTCTCTTGGAGGCATCTTGGAGAGCAGATTGGGCATGTTTGCCCTCTTGGAGGCCATCTTGAGCCGTCTTCGGAGGATATGGCCTCAAGACGGCCCAAGAGGGACCCAAAACGGCCCAAAGAGGGCCCCAAGAGAGCTTCAGATGGCCTCAAGACGGTCCAGGAAAGCTTCGAGACGGTTCCAGAGGCTATCCAGAGGGCTTCAGGAGGCCAAGAACATTGATTTCCCTTAGGTTTTTGCAAAGGGTTTCGGGGTTCTCACTTTTTCGGGCTCAGAAGGGCCCGACACGGCCCACGAGGCCTCAAAATTAGTCCCAAGACGGCCCCAGAGGCCCCCCAAAGGGTCGAAAACTGTCCCAGAGGGCCCCGCGAACGGCCCCAGAGAGCCCCACCACGGCCCCAGAGAGCAGGCCCCAAGAGGGCCCCAAGTGGCTCCCAAGACACTCCCAACGGGGGCCCGAAGAGGCGGTGTGGGGACTGGGCTGCTTGGGTGTGGGGACTCCGCTGGCTCCACGACGGCCCGAGAGTCCCAAACCGGCCTTCCAGAGAGCCCTCGAGAGGGCCTCAGGAGGCCAATCACTTTGATTCCCCTAAGTTTTGCAATGTTTTTCAAAGTTGTGCGGTTTCTCGCCTTTTCGAGCCCAGAAGGGTCCATCACGGCCCACGAGGCCCCAAAGCTCGTCGCAAGACGGCCCCAGACACACCCCAAGAGGGCCCCAAGACGGCCCCAAGTGGGCCCCAAGAGGCTCCCAAGAGACTCCCAAGGGGGCCCGAAGAAGCGGTGTGGGGATTGGGCTGCTTGGGTGTGGGGACTGAGCTGGCCCCAAGACAGCCCAAGAGCCACCAGACGGCCCTCAAGAGGGTCCCCGAGAGGGCCTGAGGAGGCAAAAAACATTGATGTCCCTAAGGTTTGGCAGTTTTTTATGGTTCTCGCTTCCTCGGGCCCAGAACCAGAAGGGCCCCAGACGGCCCAAAAGGTCCCAAAGATCGCCCCCAGACGGCCCCAAAGGCCCCAAAAGAGCCGAAAACTGTCCCAGAAGGCCCCACAGACAGCCCCTGAGGGCCCAATACGGCCCAAGAGGGCCCCAAGAGGGCCCCACGAGAGCCCCAGATGGCTCCAAGAGGCTCCCAAGAGGGCCCGAAGAGGCGGTGTGGGGACTGGGCTGCTTGGGTGTGGGGACTGGGCTGGCCCCAAGACGGCCCAAGAGTCCCAAAACGGACCATAAGGGCCACCACAAGACCCCCAAGATGCCCCAGAGACGCCAAGTGACATCATGGCTCCCCACAGCGAGCGGTGACGTAACAAGCTCTGAACACCAAGGCTCCCCAGAGTGCGGTGACGCAAAGAGCTCTGATCAGCAAGGCTCCCAGGAGCGAGCGGCAACTCACAATGCTTGTGAACACCAGGGCTCCCGACAGAGAGCGGCGAGGCAGCAAGCTCTGAACGCCAAGGCTCCCCAGAGCGAGGGGTGCCATGAGTCCTCTCGGGCGAGTTCCTGCGGCGCTCTCTCCGTTCCCGTGCCGGCCCAGGTGACGGAAAGAGCGAGGCACGAGCGAAAGAAGTTGAGTCGGGGCGACGCCCTCTAGGGAGGGGCCCAGGGGAGGGGCGAGGCGCAGGCAAATTGTTGTGATGGCCGCCCAGGGGCCGCGTCCCGTGGTTCTGTTCGAGTGAAGCGGCTCGCGGGCGGCTCCCGCGAACTTTTTCGTTGTATGTTTGGCGTTTGAACCCGCCAGAGGGCGCCAAGACGGCCCGACAGGGCACCAGAACGTTTCCCCCTTCGGGTCCGGACGGGCCCCAGACGGCCCAAGAGGCTCCAAAGATCGTCCCAAGACGGCCCCAGGGGGCCGAAACCCCAGATGGGCCCAAGACGGCCCAAGAGGCCCCAAAGATCGTCCCAAGACGGCCCTAAAGGGGCCGAAAACAATCCAAGAGGGCCCCCCGACGGGCCCAAGATGGCCCAAGAAGCCCCAAAGTTTGTCCCAAGACGGCCTCAGAGGCCCCCAAAAGAGGCGACAACGGTCCAAGAGAGCCCCCAGACGGCCCAAGAGGGCACCAACACAACCCCAGAGGGCCCCAAGATAGCCCCAAGTGAGCCCCAAGAGGCCCCAAGAGGCTCCCAAGAGAGCCCGAAGAGGCGGTATGGGGACTGGGTTGTTTGGGCGTGCAGGCTGAGCTGGCCCCAAGACGGCTCAGAATGGCCCAACACGGCCCACGAGGCCCCAAAGCTCGTCCCAAGACGGCCCCAGAGTCCCCCCAAAAGCCGACCAAGAGAGCCCCCAGGCGCGCCCAAGAGAGCCCCAAAACAGCCTCAGAGAGCCCCAAGAGGCTCCCAAGAGGCTCCCAAGAGGGCCCGAAGAGGCAGTATGGGGACTGGGCTGCTTGGGTGTGCAAACTGGGCTGGCCCCAAGACGGCCCAAGAGTCCCACAACGGCCCAAAAGGTGTCCCAAAAGCCTCCCGAGAAGCCCCAGAGACGCCAAGTGACATCATGGCTCCCCACAGCGAGCGGTGACGTAACAAGCTCTGAACACCAAGGCTCCCCAGAGTGCGGTGACGCAAAGAGCTCTGATCAGCAAGGCTCCCAGGAGCGAGCGGCAACTCACAATGCTTGTGAACACCAGGGCTCCCGACAGAGAGCGGCGAGGCAGCAAGCTCTGAACGCCAAGGCTCCCCAGAGC